CCCAGCAAGGCTTATCCTTCTCACCATCCCTGGAAATTCCTTGTATTCTCATTTTCCTCGAAAACGGCAGCACGAACATAACTCTTGAGCTTCCCCACCCTGTATGTCCCCCTTGTTCTCTAGCCCAGTGCCCTCTAGCTGCAGCACAGTTTACAACCTTAGCCCTGATTGCAGAAACCCTTTAGGCCCAGCCCCAGCCTCTCAAGAAGGTTCTCCAGGGGGAAAAATAACTCCAGCAAAGCCAGCAATCAACCCATCTATCTGACCTGCATCCCTGCAGTCCAATGTCACTGGTCTCCACACTCTCCCAGTCCTACCCCTTCACCCTGCTGGCAGGCCAGCGCAACACAGCCTCCCAATCTGCTCCACCACTGATCCTCCCAACATTCAATTTACAGGCAAGGGAACTGAAGCCCAGAGACAGTGTCACCCAGCAACTCCAGACTAAACCAGAGCAGACATCCAGGCTTTCACCTCCCAACTGGGGTTTCTTCCCCAGACAGCCACATGGTCACTTCCTCCCCATATGGTCCCCAGAGAGTGGCATTCCCAGGTCTGGGCCCCAGAGGAGGTCCCCTTGTCCCAGCCTTGCCTAGACCCAAACTCACTCTACTGAAGTGCCTTGTTTCTCAGCGTCCACCTTGGGGACTTCTCAGTTACAGCAGGTCTTGGTCCTGTTTATCCATGACTGTCCCAAGCTCTGGCTATTCCCCTAGCTGAGGCTCTGCTGTCCTTGTGTCCCCAGTCTAGGGCCCTCCCCTCAGCTTCCTTGGGGCGGCTCTGAGTGCCGTTCTGTCCTGCTTTGCTCCTCCAGGGGAGAGGTCAGTGGGACAGGGGTTTGGCCCGTGCCACTTGAGTCAAGTCCAGATAAACTGCCCAAAATAGCATCATTTCTCCAGCCAGTGGCGCCATGGAAACCAGGTTCTGAGATAGCCCTTGTGAGGTCAGAGTTGGAGCTCTGGGTGGGTGCTGGGCCTCATGGTCCCAGAGGAAGGAACTGTCCTCCAAGCCAGTGTCCAGCCCAGAGCCAGAGGAAGCCCTCCCAGGCCCCAGGCCCCAGGCCCCAGGCTCAGTGGAGGCTCCTGAATGTCTGGCTGTTCGGAGAGCTGTGCAGAATGTGGACTGGAAAGTTCTGGAGATCAACAGCCAGGTGGAGGGGTTGAGGAGGAGACCCTGGGTCAGTCCTCAGGGAACCCCCATTGTGAAGGAGAAAGGAGAGACTCAGGCCCTGGACTTCCCCAGTCTGAGGGGAAGAAAGACACATAAGCCATATTTGCAGGAAAACCCCAGTCTGAGAGGGGAGGTAGAAAGTCAAGCCTAGTCCTCTGGGAGTCCCTGGTCTGGGGTGGGAGAGAAGCCTGGGTCTTGTCCTCTGGGAGCCCCGATCTAAGCAGGGGTGTGGGAAACCTAGGCCCTGTCTTCAAAAACGCTTCCCTTGGGAATGGCAAGGGAGGCTCCTGTGAAGGAACCAAAGCTGACCAGGGTACGGGGCTCCAACCCAGGGCTGCAGGAGCTCAGTGACCAAGGCGAGGTCAGGAGCAAGCCAGGGGACCAGCTTCCTTCTGAGAGGACTTCTGGAGATGGGGCATACTTGGGCTTCCAAGGATGAGGCAATGAAAAATTTAAGCAAGTGACCAGTGCTGAAACAAAAGGAAATGCCTGCTGGTCTGCAGATTGTAAGGAGACCTGCGAGTGGAGTGGTAGATGGTGGGCAGTAAGTCCAGGGAGCTTCTGAGGCCAGGGAGCTCCTTTTGGGAAGGCATGTGAGGGTTGGCTGCCCAAAGCCAGCTCTGGTACTAGAACTGTCCTCTAGAGGGGGCCAAGAGACCAGACCAGGTCTGGAACCTGGGTTGCACAGGTCCCCACTCCAACTTGCCCTGCAAGTCATACTTCAGGGAGAGGCAGGGATCAGCAGCAGCCTGAGGGTTTCCTAGTCAGAAGTCATCTTTAAGTAATGAACTCTTCCACTGCCCTCCACGCTGAGGCGCCACCCCTCACCTCTGCAGACT